ATACAGATTGCCTTCCATACTGGAAAATATGAAAATTTTGAATGATTTGATAACTTGGGAGTTAATATACTGTGTAATAGATTGTTCTGTATATGTGCATTGCTCGAACTAAAAAGGCTTAGGGCTTGATTTTTTTTTGTTTCATTTTTTTTAGGGAAAAATACAAATTTTGACATATGTCTATATCATAGTGGGATTTTATTAGGAAAGATGAGAAATTTTGTGTACGAGCATGGTAAAGTAAGTTACATCAACTATGTCGACCTGGATTTCTTCAATAGATTTCTTCTGGACAAAGCTATGAAGATATTGAGATATTCTGGTAGAGTCAGATATTTGTACAAGATGGAGAAGAAGAGATTGAGTGAAGCATCATTCTGGTTTGTGAAAAATTCAGATTTCATGAATATAGTGAAGTGGCTTGGTGAAAATATGATGGCTGAAGTGTATTGCTTTCCTGTAGTTGAGGTTTTGGAATTGCTATGGGATGAAAATATTTTTGTGGTTGATTGTGAGATTGGTGAGGAGTTGGTAAATGTTGAAAAGTTTAGTGTGCGTGATGAACCAGTGGTTGATGAGCAACCGTGCTATGCTGTTGAGGTTTATGATGATTCATTAGAAGGTGATGAGTTATACATAGTTGATGAAGTAGATGACATAGAAGCAAATGAAGTAGTTGATCCTGATAAAACTGATGTTAGTCAAGCAGAGACAGAGGTTGGGAAAACAAAGGTTCCTTTGCTGAACTAGTGGTTGGAGTGAATTATGACGGTGGTTTTTGAAGCAGCATGGTCAATCAGATGTGCAGGTTAGTGAAACTGATGTGATCATAAGTAAATTAGATGTGAATGCTACTGAAACTCATGTGCAGCAAGGTCAATTAGAGGTTAATGTTGTTGTACATGATGTGCAGCATGGTCAATCAGAGGTCCAGAGTGGACAAACTGATTTGGAACATGGTGAATCAGAGGTGCAGTTTGGGGAAAATAAAGTGCAGCAAGGTGAACCACATTTTGAGGTACACGTTGGTGAATCTGAGGTGCAACATAGTGAACCAGAGCAACTAGAGCAAACTGAATTACATGTTGACACTGAAACAAATCATTATGTTATGTAAGAAGACCATGTATCTGATGTGCAAGTAGATTTCATATATCCTGAGCAACATGATGAATATGAAGAGGGTTTTTTTGGAGGATTTCAATGATTCAGAGTATGAGCAGGAAGAAAATATACCCATGGATGACAATGATGAAAACACAGGTTTCAGGTTGAGTGAAGAGTTTGGTATTGATATAAATACTGGAAGGGATGAGCGTGAAGGTGAGGCAGTTCCTCAAGAAGAAGTTGGAATAGATTATGACGACTCAGATAAGTTTATGAGCTTACCCAAATGACAATGAGCGTGAGGGATCATCTTCCAGGGGAACGAATGAGTGCTAGTTTAACCCTACAACGGATATAGATGATCCAAAGTTCAAGTTAAGTAATTAATTTGTCATACTTATATACTTAGTTACTAATATTTTAAAATGTAATTGACAACATAGTTTATTCACATTTTCAAGGATGAAATTTGACAATGTCAATGTTCTAAGGTCTGCAATAGTTCAGTACTCAGTTAAAAAATTTAGGCAACTCAGATATGTGAAAAATATGAAAACACAGTTGAGAGTTAGATGTCAAGATAACTGCCCTTGGGTTCTATATGCATACCAACAACCAGACAAGAGTCTTAGACTTAATACCTTCAAAGATGAGCACACATGCACCATGGTGTGACAAAATAAAAGAGTAAATGCAGGTTATTTGGCCCAAAAATACATAAGAAAGTTTATGTCTGATCCCAATATACTAATGAGCTGTTTTGTGGAAACTGTAAAAGAAGATTGCATGTATGATATTTCAAAGCATCGGTTCTATGGATAAGACTCAAATATGCACAAGTGGTGCATAGGATTGTAGCTGAGCAGTACAAAATTTTATGGGATTATAGAGATGAGTTAAAGAAAATAAATCTTTGTAGTACAATACAGATTGAAGGGTCAGATCCTACCTTTAAGAGATTGTATATATGTTTAGGGGCTTGTAATGAAGGTTTTAAATTTGGATGTAGGCCAGTTGTTGGGTTAGATGGTTGCTACGTAAAGTTTGCACAAGGTGGACATTTGTTGGAATTGATGGTGAGAACTGTATGTTCCCCATAGTATGGGCTGTTGTAGATGCTGAGAACAAAACAAATTGGCAATGGTTCATACAGTTGTTAGTTGATGACATAGGGATGTATAACCCTAGAGCTTGGACATTCATTTATGATAAATAAAACGGTTTGGTGGATTGTATAAGTCAATTATGTGAAGGGGCTGAGCACATGTGTTGTGCTAGACATTTATACAACAATTTCATTTCTGTCCTAGCTTATAATAGACCTGAAATTAGCTCCTTAGATCTTTCACACATAGAAGAGTCACACCATACGAAAAAATAGGCATGTAGACCCAAAAAAAATGAGAAAGATGTTATGAATTAAGATGGGAAGGACTGGCATGAAGATGACGTGTAAATGATGTGGATGATCTGGACATAACAAAAGAAGCTGCAAGGGACTATTGCCTGGTGAAGCTAGTTCATAGCAAGAATCAGAACTAAACACGCATCCAGAGTCTCAACAAGATACATAGTCAATTGCATCAAAGGGGAAGAAAAGAGCACTATAAAAAATAACTTCAAAGTCACGGTTGAAGAAGTCGAAGAATCAATGATTGAAATCTTAAACATGATGTGTTTTCTCCTTCATAGTTTTGCTGGAAAGTGAATTTATTTTGTCAATATTATGATTTTGTAAAGTAAACTGTAATTATTTTGCAAATGCTGTATTTGTTGAAATGTGGAATGAATTGGAAGCATATGTAGCAAATGTTGTTCTGGACTTGTGAGGTTGAATTCATTGTATTACACCATTTTCACTTGGTTTTCTTCGAACATCGGGTCTAGGCAATTATGTTCTATGTGAAAATATTGGTATTTCTTAAACAACAATCATCAAAGGTTTGATACTGTTGGTGCAACCATCCCCAAAGGTTAGGCACTGTCATTGCAACTATAACAAAAGGATTTGTACTTTCACTACAACTATAATAAATGTTTGGTACCTTTGATGCACCATATACAAAATGTTTAGAGAGTGATCTAAACTTTAAGTTCTCATTAAACAAAAGATAAAAATAGAAATGTGAAAAGTCAATACCAACTAGAATACAATACAGAAAAAGGCACTTCATATGAATGAACCACACGAAAAAAGTATAGTCACCTAGATCTTGGCTTCGAGGACAAATAAAAAATCTTCTTCCCGTGTTCAGGTTCGTCCATGAGGTCTTCAACTGTGTTGGGGAACCACATCTGCATACATTCATCTTCATCTGCGTGCTAATTTTCCTGACTAACAGTGGAAGAGAGAAGGATATTAATAGTGATGAAAATGGAGGGAAAATGAACAGTGAAGTGCAATAATAGAAAGGGAAATTATGTAATTCCGAAATTTCCTTATCTATTTGGTGGAAATTATAATGTTTTTTTTTT